TCTGCTCGCAGATTCCGTCAGGGACGGCCGAAGTGTTCTGAAGTTCTCGCTCGCTGAGGCCTCGGGACGCTTTAAGTTTTGGCCAAAATCGCCATTGCGTGTCTCGGCCGGCGCCGCTCGCCCCCCCCCCCCCCCGCCCCCCACCGCAAAGCGCACAGCGCACCACACACCCTGCCTGCGACTCGCCGCCCACACCGCCGAGAACCGCATCCACTGTCACGCGGCTCCAGCACCAGCTCCGAACAAACCCAGCGGCCGGCTTCTCCGGGCCCAGCGCCAGCTCCGCACATTCCCAGCGGCCGGCTCCTCGGGCCCCAGCGCCAGCTCCGCACATCCCCAGCGCCCGGTTTCTCCGGCTCCAGCGCCAGCTCCGCACATCCCCAGCGCCCGGCTTCCCCAGCTCCAGCGCCAACTCCGCACATCCCCAGCGCCCGGCTTCCCCGGCTCTAGCGCCAGCTCCGCATACCCCCAGCGCCCGGCTTCCCCGGCTCTAGCGCCAGCTCCGCACATCCCCAGCGCCCGGCTTCCCCGGCTCCAGCGCCGTCCGCGCACAGCTGTGGAGGCGCCCGGTCATCCGACGTCGGCGGCGGCGGCGGCGGTATTACTTTCGTTGCAGCATCCTTTCGCCCAGCTGATCCCTGACCTCGCGGGCGACCATACCAGGCGACCTCGCCCGGCGACCTCACCCGACGACCTCACCCGACGACCTCAGCCGGCGACCTCACTCGGCGACCCAGACCCAGAGCGGCGCGGCGGCCGGTCCGGGCGTGCACGCGCTCGTGCGCCGCCGCCGCGTGCAACGCGCGCCGGCTGGCCTGAGGGTCCGGGCGGGGAGGGGGGGGGGGGGGGGGCGGGGAGGGTGCGGCGTCATTACGACTGCGAACCGTCTGCCGGCCAGCGTGGCGGCGCGGCTGAAGGGCAAGGGTAGGTGACTGAGTCACGCAGCAACGACGGCGGCAACTCACGCCGCCGCGCCGGCCAGCGGGGGCGTCAGAGGCGGCGCACGCCGCGTGAGGGGATCAGAGCCCGGAGCGGGCGGACGCCCGGCGGCGGGGGAGGTCAGAGGCGAGTCTGAGCCCCCAGCGGGAAGGCGAGGTCAGCGAGCGGGCCCGAGTCCCCGGCGGGAGGGGGGAGGTCAGGGGGCGGGCCCGACGGCGCATTCCTGGCCGGCCGCCAGCCAGGCCACTCGGCCGTGTTTACGCCGGCAGGAGCGGCGGGGCGGCGGCCAGGCCCGCTGCCCCGCCAGGGCCCGGCCGTGGGGTCGGCCCAGCGCCGCGGGCAGATCTGGGTCACAGGCACACAGTCCGGCCCGGCTCAGTTCTGCCGGCGGAATGCGAGGCCGACCGCGCGCCGCTGTTTGGTCAATAGTCGATTGCACAACGGCGCCCGGTCGGCAGACCGGCGTGGCCTTCCGGACGCCCGACGCCTCGCCAGCATGCTCCGCGCTTGTGTTGCAGCTTTCCTTGCACGCTCCAGGGCCAAAGGCGCCGGCCACTGGGACGTGCATCAATGCGCGTCCAGTAAACAGGCTGCGTCCCGTCAGTCCAAGCGAGAGGAGCAGCCATGCTGTCCACCGTACACCTGCGGCCGGCAGCGCGCTCCAGCAGGCCGGCCGCACCGCGCAGACGCTGCGCCCTGTCCAGCTCCGCACCGCGCAGACGCCGCGCCCTGTCCAGCTCTGCACCACGCAGACGCTGCGCCCTGTCCAACTCCGCACCGCGCAGACGCCGCGCCCTGTCCACCGCGCCCTGTCCAGCTCTGCACCACGCAGACGCTGCGCCCTGTCCAGCTCCGCACCGCGCAGACGCCGCGCCCTGTCGAGCTCCGCACCGCGGGGGTGCCGCACCCTGTCCAGCTCCGTACCACGCAGACGCTGCGCCCTGTCCAGCTCCGCACCGCGCAGACGCCGCGCCCTGTCCAGTTCCGCACCGCGCAGACGCCGCGCCCTGTCCAGCTCCGCACCGCGCAGACGCCGCGCCCTGTCCAGCTCCGCACCGCGCAGACGCCGCACCCCTCCAGCTCCGCACCGCGCAGACGCCGCGCCCTGTCCAGCTCCGCACCGCGGGGGCGCCGCGCCCTGTCCAGCTCCAGCCGACAGGAGACGACAGGTGTCCAGCCTCGCCCCGACCCCGCCGGCTCGCGGTCGGGCGCGTGACCTTGACCCGCGGTCTGGCGTGCTGCCGCTCAGCTCGGAAGCGGAGCCGCCGCCGGTGGGGCTTCCGGCCCCGCGTCGGCGAGCCGGCCGGCTAGCGCGGCAGCCCGCACTGGGCGGGGTGGACAAGCGACGCAGCCCATCCTCGGCGGGGCGGACGAGCGACGCAGTCCGCATCCGGCGAAGCGGAAGAGCGGCGCGGCCCGCTCTCGGCGAGGCGGACGAGTGACGCGGCCCGCCGCAGATTACGTGGTATCCACGCCGCACAATCAGCTTCGTTACCGGGTGATTACGACCGCAGAACGGATGCCCTCCTCAATCATAGAACAGGGGCGGTCCGGAAAGTTTCCGGACGATCGGCCGCTATGAAAGCGCGGTGGCATCAAAAAATGTGGATCGTCTGAGCTGATAAGGGCTGCAACAGCGCGGTCACAGACCGTGCAGCGTTCCCTGCGGCTGAGGAACCGACCATGAGAGCGGGCTGCGGTCCGGCCAGCTGCTGTTCCACTTCGCTGCTCCCATCCGTCTGGTGAAAAGTCGATACACCTAACAGCCGGAGGCGGTGCCCGCCCGAGCTTGACCGAGTCAGCCTACCCGACTCGAGCTGGACCGGGTCAGCCCCATCCGGCTCTGTCCAGACTGAGTCAGCCGCATGGCTCTTGCCGCTGACATGGCCGAGTCAGGACCACCGCTCGGCACACACCACCGAGGCCGACACAACCGCAAGGCCACACCTCAGCCGCTCTCGGACAGGTCTGGCTACTCTTTGGTCGGCTATTCCCACACGCGGGATGCCTTCAGGCCGGGATGCGCACCCGGTCCGTCCGCGTCGGCCGGCGGCCGAGCCAGCAGCAGATCGCAGCGCTCCGGCGCTCCGCTGTCGGCTGCAGGCGGCCTCCGGCGCCGCGCCAGCCCAGATGACCTCCGGGTGCCGGTCTCTGCCATCAGACGGTCGCCGCCCACGGCCGACGGCAAAAAGGCGGCCTCCGACGCTGACCTCGCCACCGGTGCTCAGCGGCGAGGCTAGGTCACACTCGCCGGCCAGACGGGCAAAAAAAGCAGACGGGGCCTTGGCGACGGTCGGCAGGATTTTTTTGAGAGCGTCGCTTTGCCTGTAGACCGGGACGGCGCGGGCGCCACCGAATTACCACAGCCGTGAGTGATGACAAGCCGGCGGCGATGTTGGCGCTTTTTTGTGCGCTTTTTGCGTCAATGCCGGTGCGCCGTGGCTGCCGCCGGGCGCGCGCTCTCGCCTTTTTGTGCGTTTGCCGAGTCATTAGCGCGCAAAAACCGCGCGCCGATGGTCGCTGACTGCCATGTTTTTCGGGCCAATGCTGCGAAAGAAACAGATGACTATGCACTAGACAGCGGCCTTCAGCGGCTTTCTTCATCGGTGGAAACACCAGTCGGGTAAGCCCGGCCAAGCCCGGCCAAGCCCGGCCAAGCCCGGGCCGGCAGACCGCACGCGCACAAAGACCGTAGCGCGCAGGCTCACGCGACACGAGTGACGTCACCGGTTAGCCAGCCAAACGCAAGCGTCGGTAGCGTCACGCCCTATTGGCACCGGTAATGACGAAACTACTCGATAACCGCTCCAAGTGCCGGGCACCGGCGGTGCGCCCTCCTGGCCCCTCAGCAGGGCACGACACAGCCCATGGCGCCGCGTCTAACCCCTGGCGGCTGCTCTTTCTGCCCTCGCCAGCCACTTCGGTGAAGCGAGCTTTCAACGCCTTAGCAACAGGGAAACCCTGGCGTGGAGAAGCGGCGAAAGACTCGACCGGCGCCGCCACGGTCGCTCTCTGCGCCTCGTCGCTCCATCAGCGAGCGCTGCGTCGCTCCAGTGGCGCGGCGGCGCGGTAACTGCGGCGGGCAGGTGTGGGTGACGGGAACGACGCTGAACGGGCGCATCCGGCCATCGGAGCCGGCCGTCCCAAACCGCAGCTAACGTCCCCGGCCATGTCCAGCGACAGCAGCGGAGGCCGGCGCCCGTGGCCGGCGACAGCAGCGGGGTGCGACAGCAGCGGAGGCCGGCACCCGTCGGCAGCGACCGCAGCGGAGGCCGGCACCCGTGGCCGGCGACAGCAGCGGAGGCCGGCACCCGTGGCCGGCGACAGCAGCGGGGTGCGACCGCAGCGGAGGCCGGCACCCGTCGCCAGCGACAGCAGCGGAGGCCGACGCCATAGCCGGCGACAGCAGCGGAGGCTGACGTAGCCAGCGCCAGCAGCGGGGGCCGGCACCCGTGGCTAGCGACAGCAGCGGAGGCCGGCACCCGTGGCTAACGACAGCAGCGGAGGCCGGCGCCCGTCGCCAGCGACAGCACCGGAGGCCGGTGCCCGCACAGCCGTGCTCCGACGACTGCCGTACTTCTGACCTCCCCTTCAGTGGGCGTGGGAAGGGGTGTGGGGTATGCGAGGTGGTTCACAACTGGCCGGTTACACGGAACAAAACTTGCGATGACTGACTTTAAATAGGAACGGACAGGGCCAGCCGGGAGTCCCAGGACGACTAGGAAAGGTGAACCGGAACTTTCCGAAGGATCGATTTTGGAACGAACCCTCCTAGCTTCCGATCAGAACCACGCCATGATTGACTGAGGACTGTGGCTTTGACAGCAGAACTATGCCATGCTTCTGATCGAGGCAAGAAAGAGGCCGGCAAAAACCCTGCACCCTATGCAACTCTAAGTCTGAAACGGCCTAACATGAAACAGCCCTACTGATGTTGTCCGCGACTGAGACACGACCAGCCGGCACCCTGACCGGGACCAAGAGGGATCCAGCCGGGACATTCGACTGGGACCGGGACAGGACCAGCTTGGACCCTGACCGAGCACAATGACACCACTGACCTGTCGCTTCCTGTCATCGCCGTCCTCGTCCATGTCGATGCCCTCGTCGACGCTGCCGACGGCCCCAGTGACGTCACTGAGCGGCGGCGAGGGCGTCTCTGAGCCGCTGGACCCGATCGACATCTGGTCACTCCAGCTGGGACCGCCTGCGGCCACACAGGGGTCACGGGGGTCAGAACAGGGGCTGCAGAGGTCGCGGCAGAGGTCGAAGCAGTTTAGAATAAGGATCGTGTACCACAGATGTCAGAGCATGGGTTACGTGAAGTGGGTTACGTGAAGAGAACGTCTATGCTAACTGGCATAGCAATGGATCATGTCCATAAAGACGATACGAAACGCCCGGGACCGGCAGGCGTCAGTGTCGTGCAGCCTCGTCAAAGCAAAAGGTCAAGGTCAAAAGCAGCTGCATGTGCAGCGTACGTTTCTGTCCGACAACATTTCAAGCCTATTTGATCACGTGGTGGCACAGTCGGATGCGACTTCATCTACGAAACTCTTGAGACAGGATGGGAACAGAGCGAGAGACAAAACCAAGGGGAAAGACAAGGGCATATAGGGTACCCCATCCGTTCCAGCCCCACCCCTCAGCCAAGAAGTTCCCACCAGATCCTGCGTGATTTCGCAGGAATCCGGCCTTCAGTCGCAGGATGTCGGAGAAAGTTTGTCAAAGTTTGTCAAAAAAGTTTGCCCTTCCCTACCTGAGGAAAATTCTGACTACATGCGTGAACAGAGACAGAGATGCACATTAATGAGAATTGGACATAAGCATGCACTCACAATCTTTGCCAAGAGGTCTGGCGAAATGGCAAAAGAAATCGTGCGTGATTCCGGAATCGTAGTGTTCACGTCCAAGACGGAAGTGTTACCCTAATTCCATCATAATAGGGGCCACAAATAAAGTAGCGTTGTGTGTGTCCTGACAACCGTTTACAACGAATATGCTCAGTGCAGATGTGTTTAATGACGGCATTTTTGCAAGCCACAAATACAGATACAGCTCACAAGTGCAAGTACAGTACAGAACAATACAATCCACAAGTACAAGTACAGTACAGCTATATCATGTCAGGGTCGAAACGCCCGTGTATCCTCGTGCCGTGTACATTACTGTATCACCGACAACCATGTTTAAACGCGGGCCAATCCAAGAAATTCGTGCTGCGCACGACGTCCACCAGGTGCTGGCGTTCCCCGAAACCCCAGAATACTGCGTCTTCCAGCGCCATGGTAATACGCAGTACTTGGGTCCGGGGAGGCGGTCCGGGATTCGGACAGATTCCGTCCCTCTGCGGCGCAGGTGAAGTGCGCACCTCACATTACATAAGCCACGCACACTCGCACGCACCCGTCCCTCCAGCCTCCCGACCACAGACCCTCCCTCCGCCTCTGCCGTCTGCATGACATTGGCTGCAGCGGCAGCGCATCCGAGTTGTTTGTTTTCTGCTGCAAGCGCCGCCGGCAAGGTCAGGGGGTCAGCGCCCGGGGCGCAGTAGTGCGCGGTGCCCGCCGGCCGACAGCTGCTTGCGCCCGGTTCGGACTGACACACCACGCCTCCAATGACAGGTTGGCGCAGGTGCGCAGCCTCTCTGGTGACGCCCGCCGTCCGCCCAAAGTTCGTGACCTCGTCAAGGTCGTGGTATCGGCCGCGCCGCGCGCGGAGACTGGGAGCGCTCGCAAAGGGCGCGTCGCGCAGCCGTGGTTCTGCGCCTGCGTCGGGAGGACTCCGGCGTGCTGAAGGGACCCGGCTGCGACGGAGGCTCGCAGGACATTCGGGAGTGCGGTCGAGTCCGGCGCCAGCCCACCAACCGAACTCGCAAGTCCGACCTGACCGGCCGAACACGAGACCTGCGGCGCCGCGCTAACCTGGAACAGCCGTGAGGAGCCGAGCGCAGCCGCTCCCAGCAGCGCGCCGGCGTCAGCAGCCGCGCGCGTAACTGATGGCGAGTGCGCAGCGTCCGCTCGCTGCATTCAGCGCTGCATTCCTGCCCGCTCTCGGCACGTGCCAGACATGAAACGCGACGGGGCGTCGCACGTTGCAAAAATCAACACCGACATCGCGAGTCCAAACATGTAAGTCGCGCTGGGGTCGCGTGTTGACATACCAAGCCGCTGCGCCCCGCTACCCCGCTGCCCCGCTGCCCAGCGGTCTGCAACCACGCAGTGGCGATGGCCGCGCCGTCAGGCCAATGACCCCGGCGCGCCATGGGTGACGTCACGCCGGGGCGTAGTAACGCGGACGGGGCGCGCCAAACAGGGAGCGCGCCAAAAGTGCGCGGCCGGCCAGGTTGATAACGGGACGGCCGGCTGTCCCGGAAACACGTCCCTGGGTGCTGGCCGGCTGCCGGCTCGCGGGGGTTTCACCACATGACGTGCTGTTGTGACCTCGCGCACGTACACAGCACCTTACGACGCTGTTGGACGCCCGGTAAAACAGAGCTCGGCGGCCGGGAAATGGACCCTATGTGGGACCATCGAGACGACAAAGAGCGCGCCCTGGGGACCTCTGTGGAGACCGTCTGTTGGAAGGTGAGACGGTGGGGTCGCGTGGGCCAATTACGATGCGCGTGATTGTGAAACAGCGCGTACAGATACGTCACGTGCGTTTAGGGCTCTGCGTGTCACGGATGTGCGCAATGTTACTTCAACGCTTCAAACCGTCCATTGTGCCGAGGCAAAACACGGCGTTACGAAACGGGATACGCTCGTCATTCAATAGGGCGTTAGCAATCGCTGCGGCATAACAAACCTCTTGCGGTGCTCACAAGCACCGTCTGGAAACCAGAAAGAGACACCTTGGCCGTGCTCGGCCCCGCCCCCTTTGGCGTGCGGGTACGATGGCGAAACAGGCCAGAGCCGCATGTGCTCACGGCGCTCCTGACAGAGGTAACCCGGCCGCGCGCGTGAGCGGCGGTATCGTGTTGCGAGCAGAGGTTGGCGCGGACGTCGCCAGTGAGGGCGCCGCAAGGCTCGTCTCGCGTCGTGTGGGGCGTCGCCGGGGGGCCGCGGACGTGACAGGAGCCCGCTCTGATCAGGGGGCGGACGCGCCTGTCATCGTGTGCCAATCGTAGCGGAACATGGACCGCAGCCGACCAAGGCCGCCCTCCGCCTCACATATATCACAGCAAAGGCAAAATGCTATAATTCTGCAAATTGTCTGCGAAGGCGCGTGGACAAAACAGTTGAGAAATTTGATGGCCTATGTGAAAACATACCCATCAGTTTGAAAAGGTTCACTACGCGCGCGCATGCGACGATGGTGTCTCTAACAAGTCGCTGTAAAAGCAGCGCTTCGAAGCCCTTCTTACCTTATCCATGGTGTCGGAAAGATTCAAGAGGAAAAGGGCATTAACCGAGTGCGTCGCATTCTTTCAGCGCCCCCCCCCCCCCCACCCCGCCCTATCCCGCCCTACCACCCCACCTCTCGCTCCCAATGGCAACGCGTTCCGTCGTTCCCAGCCAGTCGTTCCGACGCGCGGTGGTCCGGCTCGATGGTCGTAGGCCTGGAACGGAAGCTGAGCCAATAGCCCGACAGAAAGATGACCGTGTTTGCCCCGAGAGCGTCGGACAAAGGCAGTGCCCTGGACGCGCCGCTCCTGCGCGTCCGGGGGACGGGGACGGGCTGGCCAGCTACTGAAACGCGGTCCGAGAGGCGCCGTGGCGACATCAAACATGGAAAATGTATATCAACTGGTTTAAGAATGTCGAAAGCTGACATTAGATGGAACTGTCACAGGCTGCTTGCCATTTAGCCCACCGATGATAAAATGCGCAATTTGCCGACTTGAAGCAAATGACCAGAAACAAAACCGATCGGGTCAAGGTCACTTCTCAATACATAAGAGCGAGAACTAATCCGACACCACCCAGAGCAAGTGACGAAAGGAGTTCTCGCACGTTCTCTGCGGGGTCATGAGCGTGTCCTCGTCGCCGCTGAAGTGAGGCCTCCGACTGCTGCCACATCGGCTTCTCTGACAAAAGTCCTGATCCCGAACAGAGACAAAGCGAAACGTCGCCTGTTGGCGGTTACATATCTGACTCGCCATCAAATTTAATGCTCAAGTTTCTTGCCTCGTAGCTTCATCTCGCGATGTATCGAAATCCGTGTAGGCAATCGGACCACAAAAACTAACCTCGAGTCTAACAAAGCATGCCACAACTGAAGTGTGGCGACACAAAGCACTCCTGGTGGGCGAGCGCTCAACAGGAATGGACCCGAGTCCAACGATTGATGACGCTAAAACGACGTCACACGCCGACCACCGTGACGTCACAGGCCGGACCGTTGCAGCATTGTCCCGTTAGCAGCGCGCTGTTCGTCACGCTCGAGTAGCCAGTTGAGTGTGTCGTGTCCATGGCAACCGGCGCGTCGAGAAATCGGCTTTCTCGAGCGCCGGCTGCTGCACGCATCGTGACGGCAATCAGCGCCGCGTCGTAACGGGGTTACGCAGCGAGCGACAGCGCCCGCCGCGCCCGCAGCGGCCACCATGCATGCCTGGCAGAGCCACATTCGGGGGAGGAACGCTAGCGCGCGGACCAGTCTCCTGACGCCGTTAACGCCTAAGTCATCAAGAATAAACTCACACCACACCTCGACGACATATGTTCCGTCAACCTGTAGAAGCGGCCGAAACGCACCACTGCTCCAGGGCACTCGTGGCAACGCTGGTCAACACGAAACACCATCTGTCCGCGCGTCGTAAAAACGTTACGACGCGTCGTTTCAGCGGCGCGCGCAACGCTCGGAGGGAGCGTTGTTAAGCGGAGCCGGCGGCCCCCCGGGCGCCGGCCGGTCCGTGGGCCAGACCGGGCCGTTGCCGGTCCAGGAACGGACAGTGATCAGCGCTCAACGGCCCCAGCCGCGGGAGGCCTCAGCGCAGAAAGCCGCAGGAAATGGACGTAGCACGAGCATTGCACAGTGCATTGGACCGGCGGACAAAGGTGGGAGAGAGGAGAGAGAAGAAGAGAGGGAGAGAGGGGGAGAGACAACATGTCGACATGGCATGGGAGACGAAGGGGTTGATATAAAGCGAGATGCAGAGAAAGACATAAAAGAATTTGGAGCAAAAGGTGATAATGAAAAAATGAACACAAAATGTATGTGACGATAATAAAAAAAGCCAAGGATGATGAGGAGGTCAAAGATACT